AAACCACATAGGGAGAATCTGCTTCTCTACAATCTGTATCCTCAGCAAACTTAATGCCTGGTTCCTGGGTACATGTTGATGAATAAGAGGTACTCAATAAATATCTATTGTTTATTAAATATTCATATACCTTGATCCACCAATCCTACTTTAGGAAATTGCCCTAGAGCAACAGTGTATAAGAGAGATAGAAAGGGACATGCTAGAGTAGAAAGAAGGTATCAGAGAGTGTTAGGTTTGACTCCTGACCTTACTACTTGTGGCATGTTATTCTCTGAGCTTTTTAGTTTTCTTCTCTGTAAAACAGGCAAGGAAAAGAGACTGCTGAATTGGGCACTGATAGTTTTCAAAAGGGAAGTTTAGAAAAAGAGATGGTGGGAGGATAGACATAATTGTACGGAGTAATTAAGAATTGAGGAGATAAGGAATAGCTGGAGAGGGCAAATCATTAGTTTAAGAAAATTAGGACTGAAGAAGAAAATGGAGCAGACACTTGAGGTGTTTTGACAAGAAGATACTTGGCCATTTTCATAGTAGGAGGGAAGGAGCCAGGGCAGAGGATGAAAAAGAGGCTGAATAAACAATTCATTGAAGTCCTAAGAAGACTGTTGGAATGGATCCTCACACAGTGAGAAGTCAGTCTCCTTAAGGAGGAGCCAGTTTACCTGAGGAACAGCTGAAGGGGAAGCTTAAAGCTACTGACATATTTTGAGGTTGTTAGAAGAGAACTTAAAAGGGTTATCCAGAGATTACCTTATTAAAAGAAAAACAATGAAATCTGGAGCTTGGGAAAAATGAAAAGGCCTTCCTAAAGAGAGTAGAGAAGGGTCCAGAAAGGAGGAATACATTTTCCAAGCAGTTTCAAAAGACCAGGGATTGGACTAGAAATTTCAACATTCATAGTTTGAGAGTCACAAGAGACAGTCTTTTGTTTTCTTTAGCTCTCCTGGGGAGATCCCAGTGGAAAAAACTGCATGATGGCTTTGATGTAGGTTGGGTATTGGTATGATGGGCAGGGTATGAGCTGGGTCATGATTATGACTGTCAGAGTTGCCTAGGATGAGGGCAGGAGTGGGAGTGAGGAGTGAATCAGTGCAGACCAAGGCAATGTTTTTAATGGATGATGAAATTTGTCCTGGAAAACAGAAGACAATGGCAACAGGGGTGAGAAAAAGGTTTTTAATAAGATGGCCTCATCTTTAAGGGAAGAATGATGCTAGAAGGAATATCATTGATCAGGGGGCTCTTAACAGCAAAGGGGGAACAAGAGAATGTCAAGGGACTGTGTTGAAAACAGATGTCAAGTAACACAGACATATTGGCCAGTATGTACATATATATAGCAAGCCATTAGGTCTTTACAGATCAGTCACTTTGCAGGATCATTTATAGCTCTCTTTCCTATTTATTGTTCCAGACTTCTGAGATCTGGACCTAGCCATGAGAAAGTTAGTCTAAATATGGAGAGATGAACATATATTTCATTAGCAAATCTTGATTGAAGGTGCCACATTCTACCGACTAAAGATTTGAAGAGGAAAAAGGTATGGCTCTCATTTTTAAGAAGCTCACGATTGAATCCTGGGCATGTGAATATGTACTGTAGATTGTCGGTTTTACAAAGATAATGAGGGGGAAACTGGAATTTCTCACCAGTAAAATAAAACAACTGAAAAAATATAAAACAACTGAAGCAGGATATTAAGGTAGGAGGTGGTAGAGTGCTAACACAGAAAGTGTGATCATTAATAAAACTTTGGAATTAAAAGGCATTTAAAAAAAGAATTTTATTGTTTTCAAGTAACGCAGTATGGAACTTGCACTTGTCATGGATTTTCTTGCAAAGATTCTGGTTGATTTAACTAGTACAGTCTGGTTAACTGGATCTGCTAGAACTACCTAAAACCACTGCTTATAGTTTAGGTAGCACTTCATGGGTAGAAATCCCTTAAGAAGCAGAGTTGCAAGGCATCTCCCATATACAGGATCTGTTCTGTATTGGATAATTTTGTCTTTCCTTCTGCATTGGCTTTCTCAGAACAACTGAAATGTCCTGTATTCTACTTTTTTTTTCAATGAATTACAACAGTTCATCTATTTTTTGTAGCTATGAGAGCTATTTGTCAAATGTATCTGAGACTCCTGTACTTTTATTAAGTTTGTGACCCTACTAGGAAGTTATTCTTTCACCCTTACTACCCTCCACACTTCAGCCTGCTCTGTAGAATCAATGTCAAGGCAAGCTCATCCAGGCCAATGGTCAGGTCCTCTCTCAGGAATTTCCCAACAGAGAATGACAATCTGTCTTCCTGAAATTTTTACCAGCTGCACTTATCATCACCCTGGAAGACTGTATTCCATTTTCCTTAAAGAATTTAAAATATGAAACTCACTTTGTTGGAGATCATCTCAGACCATAGACTTTTCCCAAGCTTTCTGTGAACTATATCTAGTGATGTGCTAGTAATATGAATTAAACAATAACAACAAAAAGCTCTGATTGTAGTACTTGCTGATTTCTGTGGTGAAGATGCTTCTGCCATGACCAACTTTAAGGTACCCAAATGAAACTGCTGAACTCATAGTTGGGAAGAGCTGCACATATATTCTACTCTTGAGATTTGTTAAGATATGATTGCAGTACAATGACACCCATGTTTTCTTTTTGCTAACATATTTTGCTAATTAATCATATTTTACTTTACTTGGATAATGAATTTTAGTATTGGTGTTTTGAGGAAAGGAATTCTGCAAACATACTACAGGTAGGTTGACCAGAGGTTGTGAGGAGAGCCTAGGGAATATGAAGGAGAGTGTGGGATAAAAATAACTCCTAGGAGGTGGGAATGAATCCTAGGTTGCTAGTATTGCTGTTAATCAAGATAGTGGGTGGAGCTTCAGGGAGGAAAGGTAACTAATTTACACAATAATTGAGCAAATATTTATTGAGCACAAACTGATGCCTGACACAGGAAATTCTAGGTATTGAGAAGACACAGCAGAGCACACAACAGATAAAATCCTTGCTCTTGTGAAACTGATAGCTTATCAGAAATGGCCTCTTGAATGCAACCTGTTGGAATCTCTTTGAAGCCTGAATCTTCTGCTGAGTACACCCCTATGTTTTTCAGTTTGAAGCTACCAAGACATTTAATAAATACCTTTCTGGTATCTTGTAGCACAGCAGTATAAACTTACGTTCAACCTGACTTCACATGGCGCAGTTGATCCCTCCTGCAGAAAGCCTTCCCTAGACTTCCATGTCTCCCTTCAATTCTGGGTAACTCTTAGTTCCCTGTAATGTGCACCCATTTACTTCCTTACTACATTGTGAACTTTCTGAGGTTGTTTTCTTAGAAAGTTCCATCTTAAATAGTTGAGGCAGGACCACAGATTAGCCTTTATGTGAAGTACTAAAGTTTATACTATATTGTCCATGTAAAATGTTCTTTTAAGCCATTCTAATCATTCATATTAATCCAGTTCCTTTTGTGACATCAAAACAAAATCCCCAAACAACAACAAAGAGCTCCTGAAATCTGCCTGCAGAATTTTATTCTAATTAAATACAACACACAAGCTTTTTGAAGTTCATTATAAAAGTAATGCTTTTGGACTTCCTCATAATGACTTTATTCACTATTGTACATTTGGCTCACTGCTAGAAGAAAGTTACAAGGATAGATGGTGGCCCCAACAACAGATATTTACTTGGGAAAGAAGTTACACAAGGAAACATATCAACTCGATGTCTTGCGTCAGTTACTCTGTGACCAACCAGGAGAGGGAATGGCTTTGCTCTAGATGCTGGCACCCAGCAGGAACTGTCTCATCTCTATCCATGGTGGAAATACAGCATGGTGTTCTCTAGACGTGTTGCATCTGCTACATGGCAAATCTAAGGGACTCTAAAGAGTATCATTAGGACATGATTTCTTCTTCTAGAGCAAGCAGTCTCAGCAGGAACTGTGAGTTTGCTTAGGTTTTCTGAAGATACTAGAATCAAAGCCTTGATCACTTTGTCCTCTGAATGGATTTCATGACCGTACTCTTGAATATTTCAACAAGTTTTGAACATGGAGGGACTTAGAACATTCTCACATTTCTAATTTGTTCCAGCTTCATATGTGTCATCATTCTCTCTGAAATCAACTTTAGATTCAACATCCCCTGCCATCGGGACTTCCAGAGACCCTCCATGCAGTGTCTCAACTTTGACATGTTGTGCTGAATAGCTTGCTCTTATCACATGGCTTAACTGCTGTGATGCAGATATTCCAAGGGTTGCTGCATGTATTACATAACTCAAAGGTATTTGGAAAGCTTAATTTCAACTTCTTCAAAGGGAACATGAATGTTCCAAGGCCAAAGGACACAAATAAACTTTTATTTTTCAGTTCTGCCACCTGGTATTATTTAACATAAATATAAAACCAGACAGGTTCTCAATATAGAAAATTTTTCCAGTTATTGTCCTTGTATTTCATCTCTTTGCCTTTCCTAGAAAGAAGACTGGAATTGATGGGTAAGCTTCCCCATTAGCCTCAGATTAAAGTCTTCCCTTCCTGGTTCTCATACTAAATTGCGGGTTTTATTTGAAATCTGTTCCACTTCAGAAATTTAAAGCACAGTTTCATCTAATCATGATCAAACAAAACCTAGAAGCCTTTAAACAGTAGAAAGTACTGTGTGGCTGATACTGTAGCTCATGGCATCCCCGTGAACTTTTACCCAAGTTTTATACCTGATTATATTTGGGCACTGATAGCCTTTTATAGTAATACTGAAAAATAAATAAATTAAAGTTTATGGCAGGACTAGATTGAGAGAAAGTTGCATAAAGTTGGGGGTCCCTGAAATGTACAGCTATCACCCAAAGCCCATTTCCCTCTAAGCTGGGATTAATGGCCAAAGTACATTTTCAAAACACCATCTGCTTCGAGAATGAGCGCTGTGCTCTTTCTGCACAGCTCTGTGTGAACACTAATTTTTCTCAGTACCTTGGTGGTTGTTTGTGATCATACACTCCGTGGACCAGTCTTGGGGGATCACAGGGGCAACCAACTCAGCAAACTTCTCCAGAGGACAGCTGGGGGTGCAGCCTGGCAGTGTTAGGGTGTAAGCCTCATGCAGGGTCTCGTTCCGATAGTACATCTCCACGAAGTACTCCCTTGGTGGGGAAAGGCAGAGGAGAGAGCTCTGTTAGTTCTGCCATATTGAATTGCAACTGAACCTCTTTCCACCTGGTTGGTAACATGCTAATTGGAGGGCCCATGGAAGAGCTTATGGGAATGAGATTTTGGCCAATTTTTATGTGGGAATGGGTAGACTGGGGCAGGCAAGACAGATTTGGAGGTGGGATTGGGAGGGCTAGTTTGTTAGGTAAAGAGAAGCATAGGAGGTAGGAACCAGGATGCTCAATCAGAGAGCTGAAAGGAGATGGTTGGGGAGATGGTGCCACTTTGATGAGTCTTGGAATGAGAAATGAGGGGCCTGTGGGGGTGATGGGTCACCCCTCTTGTGTTCTGTTCTTCTCATTTGTGTCTTCCTCTGTTCTTTTTTCCTCTCTTAATGTTTATCTCAGTCTTTACCCTGAATGTATCTTTCCTTTTCCTTAACTAGGCCATAAATATGAACCTGAATAATATGTAACACATGTACTTGAATATATGCAAGTTTTTATTAAATCTCAGAGGTGTTTGATGTAGGTTCAACTCCTGTGTCATATTAGAGAGGACTCTTTTAAAACTTTATTTTAAAAAACAAAGTGTCTTATGTCCGCAACCAGTCTCAGTAAAACCAATATGAATTGCCTATGAAAGATACTTCCCAACCAAAGAGGCAGGAGAGAAATTTAAATAGGATTTAGTGATCTTTCCTGGTGCAGTGAATTCACAATTTCAACTTTTAGATATTGTTATAAACAAGCTTTTAAAAACATCACTGTAAAAAGTCGTATAGGCACAGTAACTGCAAATATCATTTATAGGATATTTATATTTTAAATTTCTCTAATATTATATGAACTATCATATACATGTTGGGATAACTTTTCCAGTGGCAATATCTTTTATCTCAGGATGATAGAGCGTAGATGACCAATAGTTCATCCCAAAACCATGATTTTCTATTGAATAGAGTCACAGATCAGAAATGACTATATTCTCAGGTTCTCTTGCACCTCGGTGGCACCAAGTGATCCATCTTAGCCAGTAGAATGTGGGCAGAAATGATAAGTGCTTCTTTTGGGCTGAGGTAGTTGATAAGCAGGTTGTCTTTCTATCCTCTCTGTCCTTTCTACAAGCTGCTGACAGGTGGCACAGCCCTCTTGAAACTGTAGAGCCCTAGGTGCCTGACCACCATGTGGGAACACACCACAGAACACCTGCATTGACCTATTGTTATGATTTAGATCTGAGGTGTCCCCCAAAAGCTAATGTGTGAAGTAATGTGAGAAAGTGTAGAGGTGAAATGATTGGGTTATGAGAGTTTTAACCTAATTAGGGTATTAATCCTCTGATAGGGATTAACTGGGTGGTAACTGTAGGCAGGAAGGGTGTGATTGGAGGAGGTGGGCCATTGGGCATGCCTTTGGGGTATGTATTTTGTCCTCAGTTAAAAGTGGAGCTGTCTCTCTCTGCTTCCTGGTGGTCATGACCTGAGTTTTTTTTCTCTTCCATGCTCTTCCGCCATGAAATTCTGCCTGAGCTCAGGCCCAGCGCAATGGAGTTGGCTGTCTATGGACAGAGACCTCTGAAACCATGAGAAACAAATAAACTTTTCCTCCTCTAAATTGTTCTTGTCAGGATTTTGGTTTGCAGCACTGAGAAAGCTGACTAAAACACCTGTTGACCAGCAACACCTGCACTGGGCTTTTGGATAAGGGAGAGATTAATTTCCATTAATCTTCATTGATTTCCACTAATTCTTAGGTTAAGCCCCTAAGAATTTTAGATTTCATTTGTACAGAAGGCAGAATTACCCTTCTTAATTAATATATCTAATATTTCAAAAGCACTCATCAGGGGACTCAAAATTGGCTCTAGTGGAGAAGACACATGTTAAAGACACATACAAAGAATTGATAAGAAACTATTCCATAAAAAGTAAAAATGGAAAAAAAGTAGTATTTTCAACTTAATGAATTATTTTATATAGCTTATGATTTTAAATTTATGCACTTATTTAAAATTAAATCTTTTAAATATATATTTAAATACCTTTTCTACAACCTTAACAGTTTGTGTATTTAAGATAGCTAGACAAATAAAACACTCTCCCTGTCTCCTTATCTTATAGGGAAAATGTGGAATGACCTAGTCAAGATGGCCGTATAAGCAGGCATCTATAGTATTTGTTAGCTTAGATTCTCCTTGTTCCTAACTAAAAGGCAATCAAGTCTAATCTTCAATCCTTCTATGGAGTGCCAGTAAGAAAATCCTAGTAAAACAACAACCTTGACCTGAGCATGGCTCTTGGTTAATTTTTTTTTTTTTTGTCCTGTGTCCAGATCGCTCAGTTGAAAAAATAACTCACACTTGTCTAATAGCATAGGTTTTCTCAAGATGGTGAAAGAAAGTGATTCAGGGGAAGAAAGTACTATGGCTCCCTAACAAAGGAAGCTCAGGCCCCTGGGGTGCAGAAACCACAGAAGAGGGAGGCCTGAGAAGAGTCAATAGCTTCTTTTGTCTTATCCCTGAAGAAACAGTGCCTGTGCTTACAGCTGATCCTGGAATTTTGTCTGGATTTATTAACTATGTGTCCAGAGGTGGTCTTTAAAGGGTCAGATCTGTGCAAGGTTTATTACTAAGACAGGTTTTTATGTTTTCAGTCTTCTCTTTCTCATGTTCTACTTTGCTAGTCTCCATTTCTAGTCTCCATTTGCTTCTCTCCGCTCTGACCCAAGATATTTGAGAGCAAATCAGCTAAGACCACATTATAGTTTGACTTCATCATGGTGTCACCCAGTTAGAGGTTCAATAAAGAAAACATCTACCCTTCCCTAACTGTGTAGGACTCACTTTCTTCATAAGGAGTGAAGGTATTGGTTGAGAATTAGGTCTTTATACTGCGACTTTCCTGTTCTACATATTCGGGGGACCAAAAACATGTATCCAAAACAACAAAGCTAGCAGAATTAAGTTCAGAGCCTTTTGTTTCAAGATTATGGAGAATTTCAAGATGGCAGCAGCAGATTGTCAAGACAAGCATGAGCTCTTCTGAGTGAGGGGCCGGGGGTGTCAGGCTGGTCCTGCCTGTAGTTGCTGAGATTATCTTGAAAGGAAGGCACAATTAATCTCCCCAACCAACCCTGGAACACAGCTCTGGGGTCACTGCCTTAACTTGGCCCCTTCTTTTCCTTTATTTCTTCAATAATATCCCATGAGTTCTGGTGACTTGCCAAAAAACAACTCCTCTTGCAAATGATACAAAGTTTTGGTGTGACCTTGTCTATGGTAACCAACTCTTCCTGGTTTATCCAACTCGCCCCATTTTAACAAGAAAAGTCACCTATTCTGGGAGCTCCCTCAGTTTTGGGTAAAATGTGACATTTGGTCTCTCAAATCTAACCTTCCTACTATTTAAACAAGGGCTTGGTCACCTGGGAAAGGCCACACCAGGTAAACACCAGCCAGAAGAATCTTTTCTGGTGAATATGACTCACCAGGAGCTGCCTGGGTGTGTTCAAAGTCTTTTAATTGAAATACTTTTGTTGTTTAAGCACCAAGCACCTTCATTTTTCTCATGACGTCTTCTATCAGGCTGTTTTTACCAACAGAACTATGTAATGTCAGCAAACTTAGAATACCTTAATTTAAAAAAAATTAATTTCTGTTTTTTTAGAATGGTTCTGTAAAATTTTTCCATCTACTATGTTATGTACATTATTTTCAAATAAAAGACTTCATGACAACAAAAAAGCCCTAACAGATCCTATTACTACCATTCTTTCCTCCAAATATAAAAGCAAACCAAAGACAGACACAACCACCCTTATGCCAACAATAGCAATAATAAAAAAGCCTGGGGGCCACTCATCAGGCACTTACCCTTTGTCAAGGTACAATTCCACTAAGTGGCAAGAAGCATAGGGAGGAAGGATTCCGTTGAAAACATCTAGCGCCATCTGTAGGCCACTCACAGTAGTGTCATGCTACAGAAATTCGGAACAAATCATTTTCAATCATTTTTACTGCTGGTTCAGATTTGCATTCAATAGATATGCACTTGTAGAGCACCACTAGAGTTTCCCATTCAATTTAATTTCCCTTACTCCCAATGTCTTAATAAGTACTAAGGACTAAGTATAATAAGTAATAAGGAAAGAGTTAATTTTACTTCAGCATCTGCTGTGTGCTAGATAGTAAGATTTACATACATATTCCCACTTGAAAAATGAAGAAACTGAGATCCAGAGACATTAAGTAACTTGCTTATCATCAAATAAGCATCGAATAAAGTAAACTTGAATCAAGTCTTCTCAGTCCTGTGCCTTTTCCCAGTAAAGCAAATCTCTGCTTTTGCTTGTTCCATTGATTTTTTTCATTAAACTTTAAGATATTTTAGAACACATTAATGCTAAATTATATTTTTCTATAGATTAGTATCATTGTACTTTAAAGTTGTGGAAGAGTATATGAGGCCATAAATGTTTTAGGGAGGTTAAAATATAAGGAAGCTTAAACATAATTGTAGCTTAAACATAATTGTAGCAGGGCACAGTGGTGCACACCAGTAATCCCAGTGACTTGGGAGGCTGAGGCAGGAGGAACTCAAGTTTGAAGCCAGCCTCAGTAATTTAGTGGGACAACTCAGCAAGACCCTATTTCAAAATTTAAAAAAAGAAAAAATAAGGGCTGGGGATATAATTCAATGGTAAAGTGCCTCTGGATTCAATCCCCTTAACCCCTGCCAAAAAAAAAAAAAAAATAAATAAATAAAATAAATAAAGTTAAATGTTTGCCTCAGAGTGGCTGAAAGGTATACAGGATGATTTTCAATCCTGGCATTGATTAGCTATCTGGTGTTAGGTAATTCTCAACTTCCACATCTATAAAGTGGGGACAACATTTCACTGTCCAAACTGTATGACAGTGTACACCTATTCAAAAGGGGTGAGGACTAATCTAAAAAAAAAAAAAAAAAACAAAGAAAAAGAAAAGGAGCAACAGAATTTGATAGAAGTCACACAACAAGTTAGAAAAAGAAACCAGATTAGAAGCTAAAAAAGCACAAAATCAGCTCATTTCAGGCCTACTTTTCTCTAGCCTATTCCATATGGAGGATAATATAATAATCAAGCTTCCCTGTATCTTCAGCCATGAATGAAAACATGGCTTTCTCCAGTCAAATCATAGTTTCCCTAATAACCGAGCAAACCCCTTTTCCTGTCCTCTTGCTGCCCTGGTTTTAGATCTCTCTGTTTTTCTAGATATTACATAAGCTTTATAACTAGGTGCCGGTTCCAGATTCTGGTCTTTCTACAAGATAATTAATTTCTGAAATGCTGCCTCCATCCTGTCCTCCCTGCCCTGACCTCCCTGAGCAAATCCCTTCCGGGGTGGGGGGAGTCTCCCCTGCTTCATTTCTCTCCTTACATTTTACCCTAAGAAGCATGATCTTCAAGCTGCCTTCCAGCTCAAACATTCTGAGACTCTATCAAAGTTGCCTGAGTCTACCTGCTTATCTACCTGCCTATCTCTCCCATCTCCTGCAACAGAGAGGTGGCCACCCTTTAGGAGGCCCCAAAGCCCTTGCTTGAATGGTATTTCCACACTGCTTTGGTGTTTGTTTTCTTGTTAGCATTACCATTAAATTGTAAATTCCTCAAGGGCCAGAATGACACATTTAATCTTCACATCTTTGTGCAGATGCCTACCATTCCCTGGGTAATGGGGAAGTAATCAGGATCAAGATGAGGTTCCTCTAAGAGATCACACACTTAAAACAAATGGGTGTTAAATGAAGACAGAAATACTTACCGCAGAATACATGACAAATTTTTTGTAGTTTTGGGATTGAGTTGCGCTCTTCAGGTGATTAAGAATTTCACTGACCAGGACACCTTAAGGAGAGAGATCAATAATGGAGCTGAACCAAACAAGGCTTATATTTTAGTTTTCAAACTTATTCATAAATGGGGATGTTCTCTGATGATTTATCAAGAGAGGCAAAGACCTAACTTTGGTTGAGCCTCAGCTATGTGCTGGGTAGCATAACTTACACACATTTTTTTTAAACTGATGTTTCAGTCTTGTCCCTCATTTATAGCTAAAAAAGCTGAAGCACAGAGACATTAAGTGACTCACCCATCTGGGAAAGGAGACCTAGACTGGTGCATTCTAGAACTCTCCTGTAATGGGTTCTGTTAAATTTCAGTTTAGGAGGCTGATAACTTGGAAGTAATTTCAGATTTTTTTTTCCAGATCTTACAAGACAGTTGTCAGCCAATGATCATCTCCTGAGCAGAACTGAAATGACTGCAGGGCATGTACTTCTGTCTTCACCTCCTTTTTTCACTCTCCAACAGTCAGGTTTATGGGAGGCCTTGGGAGAAAGCATTTCTCCAGATGTGTGCACAGATCATGGGTTGTCTGTGGACCATTTCTTCAGATTATCCTGGGGGTCACTATTGGGGAGCAGCCAGAATCTTTAGCTCTCACTATCTGTCATCAGTAGAGGGGAGCTTTCTGCCCTTCACATCCAAACACCTGACTTTTGTTGCTCCTGAGGTGACGAAAGGCAGGTGCACAGAGCACAGTCTCTATGCTGTTTGCAGATGCTGAAAGCTGTGGTGTACCTCCCAGTGCCAGATTCTGCTTGAGGACACGTTGCTTCATAGACTTCCATGACCAACTATGTTGGGGAGTCACAAAAGAGACTTCTGTGTCTTGGCTGGTCGCTCTACTGTATATGTGTTCTCCTGGCTTACGAATGACCAATGGTGTGTGTTTGCTTTTGGCAATGAGCAGGCATGACATTAATAGACTATGATCCCAGATTCTGTAGTTGGCTCAGCAAGTTAACCCTGAGCAGCTATTCTGGGTCAGACACTGTGCTAGGTGAATCAGAGGAGTGTTATGAAATACTAGGAAGATATAGGCCTGTACACCAATTAGCACAATAAAGGGTTAATCAAGGAGGTAGGTGATCAGTTCTTTTTTCAGATGCCGGCATTTACCATGAATGAAAGAAACTGGATGCTGTTTTTCTAACAAGTCTCAATTTCTCTGGAATACTTTAGGGATTTACACTTGATCTTCATGCCGCATTGGTACTAAACTCTGTTGCCAAATTTCTGGAAGTCATGACAATCATCTGCCAAAAGTGGCTTGCCCTTTGTCAACCTGTGCCTTTTTGGGAAGGCTGCAGCCTTGGTCACAAGGTATCAGTTCTTAGTTCTGGGTGATTATTCCCTAGTCCCAGGAGTAGCTAGGGGTGACTCTCAAATCATCTCTGGGCTCTGGCATGCCAATGTTCCATTTTATAGGCGGGATGGCAGAGGCTCAGAAAGGCTCAGTAACTTGCCCAAGATTGTGTGACTTGTAAGCAGAAAGCCTGGGTTTTGAACCCAGTATGTCAAAAATCCCTGTTCACTTAAAGCAAACTTCTAAATTCCCTGTGGCATCCTTTCTTAAATCTGCATGAACTAGACAAAACATTATTGATCAGAAAAACCAAACTTCACTTCTTTTACTCATGGGCTACAGAAAAAGTTGGCACATTTTTTTCCTGTAAAAGGTGACATGGTAAATGTTTTAGGCTTTGTGGGCCATTAGATCTGTTGCAACTTTTCAACTCTGCAGCGGTAGCATGAAAACTGCCAGAGACATTGCACAAATGAACAAATGGCTGCTTCAGTAAAACTCTATTTTCAAAAACAGGCAGTGAGCTGGATTTAGCTGTACACTCTAGTGTACAGCAAGAGTGGATGTTTGAAAAAAAAGAGTGGGTATTTGTTCCAAAACTAGTCTTGGGAGTTTTGGGGTGTGTGTATGTGTGCACATCACCAGACATTGTCACCTCTGAAATCAACTGGTGGAACAGAAACTCTGGTCAACGTCAGAAGATACTGGTCACAGTACTGATGTTCTTGTATTCTGTGTCAGCAGGACAATGGATGTTTTCTGTGCATGGCTGTGTTCAGCCGCTTCATCATTCAATAAGCATGTCGTTGACAAATCTTTCATGCTTAGTCAGATAGGAACAATAGGGCGGAGCTCGTGTTTTGGAAGAACCACGCAGGAAACAATTTTCTGGCTTATCAGTGGCACTGAACTTCCTCTAGGAAGTAGGGCAGGAGGGTTCCCACAAGTGCCAACCTATATAATCCATGACCAGAGAATACCTGAGGGAAGGACACTTACAGATAGAGTCTAGTTGAATCCACTTATCAGTTGGGGAAACTGACGCCCAGAGAGAGGAAGTGGCTTCCCCCAGTATAACCCTCCAGTAGACAAAGAGGGTAAGTGGGGAGGGAGGAGGAAAGATGAACAAGTTGCTAGAGTAAACCCCATTTCATATATATATATATACATCTGCACAGCATTAGATTACTGTTCATTCCTTTCTGGTGTAAATCATTGGGATTTTACTAAACTGTGGATTCTAATTCAACAGTTTTCAAGTGGGGCCTGAGCTTCTGCATTTCCAGCCAGCTTTTAGGTAAGGGGATGTTGCAGGCCAATAGGCTGCACTTGGAATAGTGAAGGGCCAGATTCTTGAATCCATCACGATGAGGCTGAGGGGAAATAAATCTTGATTCTGGTGCACCAGAAATGAGGCCTGGTGCTTATGTAGCCAGTGAGACCCTTCCTGGGGTCTGCTCCTATACACAGTCTGTACCTTGCCTGGTAATTTTTCTGACATGCTAGGTTTCATCTAAGACTCCTTTCTGGATGTGCTCTCTTCCTCAAGGGCTGGGCTTGTTGCTTGTGCCATTCTTAACGTGGAGCAAAGACCTGAACATTTCCGTTGGGTCTGATTCTGTACCATGCTATGGGCGCTTTGTCACAGCAGCTTTGCAACATCCTCATGTCCTTAGGGACCACTTTCCTGCATTATTAGCCCCAACCTCACATTCATTTCACATGAATTTGCTTCTCATCATCCTGGTTTCATGTCTTATTAGCTCTTCTCTTGGTTACAGCTTGTCTCACTCTACACCTAAGGTGTAGCCCTGCTTTTCTAGCTATAATTGACTCCATAACTGACTTCTAGCTCTAATTGTCAGAATTCTCGGCTGCTATGCATTCTCTTGGGATTCTAATGGACCTGTCCTTATCAGGTGAGTAGCATTTGGCAGGAATCCTGGTGTGATTATACCAGTTTCCTCAAAATGTCTAAAATAGGCATGTCCTCACATTAACCACCTCTGAGCCTGGCACCCCACTTGGTGTTTTGGCGTGTCCACCTTAGCTGCCCTCACAGGCCGCAGCCCCTATCTCTAACCCACCTGGTCCTGGCTTCTTTCCTCTACTCACCTGTCCTCATCACAGGGGCCCAGAATCCTCCTGCTTGGGTCTACCTTCAAGATGGCAGGGTCTCCTGTGCTGGGAAAAGCCACTTCTATCCGAGAAGAGGCATCACTGACAAATAAATCTCAATACCTTTCAACACCAGTGAAACAATTCAAGCTGCGTCATAAAACTTATCAGTTGTAATAAATAAAATATATAGATCCTGCAAAATAGGTTCTATTAACTTTTAATCATGTCTTATAGGCTCCCAGGCACAAGTGATTTTCTTTGGACTCAGATAGGAAATCCTTGGTTATTTCATCTGGATAAAGAGATCTGGACAGAAAGGACCATTTATTTAGTGTTAGCTCAAAGCTTTCATTTTCCAGATGAGAAAATTAAGGCCCAGAGTGTATAATATTGATGATTACAGTAACACAATGTTTGCTGACAGTGTATTATGTACCAGCTGCTGTTTGTTCTAAATCCTTTGAATACATTCATTCATTTTAACCCTGTCTATGAAGCAGGTGTTATTGTTACAGTTTTAAGAGATCTGTCTGAGGTCACTCCGTGGGTCAGTGATAGGACTGTGACTCAGACTCAGACCACAACCACAAATCCAAAACACATCTCATTTTCAAAAAAAACTTACCTCCCTGGAGTCTACTTTTCTCTTTCTGCTTATGAATTCCAAAAAGGGACAGAATGGATAATTCTGATAATTCTTTCAACTTAGCCATGGTGTCCTTAGTGGCCCAGGAGGGTAAAGTGAAATTGTGGACAGCCTGTATCAAAGAAAAAGGAAGAAAACATTTGTGCATTTTTTTTTTTTTTATTAATGACTATCCTCTTTGTTGATTTTTTAAAAATCTTCTTTGGCCCCACAAGAACCACTGGGGCCAGCCTTTCTTGTCCTGCCACTTCTTTTAAAGACTTTATATCCACAATAGAAAGTGATATTGATTTTCAGAAGAAAAAAAGTACAGAAACTAAATGTCCCCTTTCTACCAAGTTTATAGTTTTTGACTTAACTCTGGATAAACGAGTGATTCTTATTTTGCAGAACAAGAGTGCAGAAGGGCAAGGATGTGGCTCCTTCCTTTATGCAAGAGTTAGAAATCTTTCTTTGAATCTGTGGGGGAAGGAATAAGCTTACAGGGTAAGATGGTATTTTCTCTGAAGCTGAATGAGCTGTCTGAGAGGCTTGTTAGGATAGGCAATGTATTTTGCTGGAGCCTTCAATAATAGATACCCATCCCTGTGAACTTAAAAGTTTATACCTGGGGCACAGTAGGGACTGGGTAGATGTTTGTTAAACATGAACAAGTTTCAGGCAGTGCAGGTAGAGACCTAGTGTCATTATTTATTACCCATTAGAAAAAAACTGATTAGGAGTTCCCTAGTTTCAGAGAGAGAGAGAGAGAGAGAGAGAGAGAGAGAGAGAGACTGATTGATCATGAAAGAGCAGAATAAAGTGACACAGAAGTAAGAAAGAGAGACACGAGAAAGATACCACATAACGTGGTCTCCTTATGGAATAGGTCAGATCAAACTGATGTGTGGAGTTAGCCTACTTTAGGCCTTGCGTTTAATCCCCAAAACAAAACCCACCAACGAAAGAACCAAAATAAAACTAGAGTAAGGAACTAAAACGGTGGGTTCTTGTCTCCATTGAAAATGTCTTCGAGGCTAACAAATTTCATTGAAACAGATGTTGATGATAAAGTGAAAATATTGAAAGAGTAGCTTGAGTTGGGCTAATGAACTACCAAAGAGGGGGCACATGGTGTCATCTGTTACTGAGATGGAACTATAAAAGTAATTGCTGCCCCTAACTCCCCCATGAGGAACTCAAAAAATCAGAAGTGGATGGTCAGGTGAATGGTCAGAACTGTGCCAACTGTGCTGGGAAAACAGGAAAACACTCCTTTTGCTAGCGATGATGAACATTTTTTTCATATATTTGTTGATTGATTGTATATCATCATCTGAGAAGTGTCTGTTCAGGTCCTTGCAATTAGAGAAATGCAAATCAAAACCACTCTAAGATTTCATCTCACTCCAGTCAGAATGGCAGCTATTATGAAAACAAACAACAATAAGTGTTGGCAAGGATGTGGGGAAAAAGGTACGCTCATACACTGCTGGTTGGACTGCAAATTGGTGCAACCAATATGGAAAGCAGTATGGAGATTTCTTGGAAAATTGGGAATGGAACCACCATTTGACCCAGCTATCTCTCTCCTTGGACTATACCCAAAGGACTTAAAAACAGCATACTATAGGGACACAGCCACATCAATGTTTATAGCAGCACAATTCACAATAGATAAACTGTGGAACCAACCTAGATGCCCTTCAGTAGATGAATTAATTTAAAAAATGTGGCATATATACACAATAGAATATTACTCAGCAATAAAAGAGAATAAAATCATGGCATTTGCAGGTAAATGGATGGAGTTAGAGAAGATAATGCTAAGTGAAGTTAGCCAATCCCCCCACCCTCAAAAAATGCCGAATGTTTTCTCTGATATAAGGTGACTGACTCATAGTGAGGTAGGGAGGGGGAGCATGGGAGGAAAAGATGAACTCTAGATAGGGCAGAGGGGTAGGAGGGGAAGGGAGGGGGCAAGAGGTTAGCAATGATGGTGGAATGTGATGGACATTATTATCTAAAGTACATGTATGAAGACATGAATTGGTGTGAATATACTTTATATATAACCAGAGACATGAAAAATTGTGTTCTATATGTGTAATAAGAATTGTAATGCATTCTGCTGTCATATATAAATAAAAAAAGGAAAAAAAGAGAAAACACTCCTTTTGGCCAGAAGGTGGAGCCTGGTGAGTGAAAAATACTGGGAACTTTGAAAAACGCAGCCCTAGTTTATCTAGCTACAAAATTAATTCAAATGCATCACACAGTAAAGAAGTTCTCTCCTGACAGGCCAATTTTGATAGCCTGGCTTACAGTTGGCTTGTGTATTAGAGACGAGGCAAGTTTTCTCCCTTCTTTCTGTGTAACAAACATTTCGTTTTTCATTGAAATGCTTGATGGGAATCCAGCATTCCTCAATGACTAAGTAAATAAGCATCACTGTATAGAAAAAAAAAATTCTGTTTGCAGTTTTCTAAAGGGTAAAACCATAAAATAATGCAGAGAAAAGAGAAGTCAGAATTTTCAAGCTCATGTAAGAAAAATCTGAAGTTATGTTTCAATATCAAAGGGAGTAACAAGTAAAAATTCGTAAGAAAAAAATGCAAGTGTATTCGTCTATTTCAAAATAGGCATAAAGCATAAAACTGGATAGCAAATATATTTATGTTTATATAGATATATTTTTTTCCTTTTACCTCACAATATAAAGGGTCATAGACTTTACTCCAAATTCCAAAAAGGTCCTGGCCATGGAATCCTGAAAGTTCTGGCAAGGTTGCTATAAAATCCTGGAACACAAGCAGAGAGAAAATATTTCTACATCAGGGTTTCTCATCTTTGGCATAGTTTGATATTTTGAGGCTCTCCTGCGCATTTGGAGGCTGGTTAGCAGTATCCTGGCCTCTCCCCACTACATGTCAGCAGCACTCCTCATCTTCCAGTTGTGACAGCCCAAAATGTCTCCAGACATTGCCAAGTGTTCCCTGTGAAGCAAATCCGCTCCCCTGAGAACCTTTGTTCTTCACAGAAGACTGCACCAGTAACACTGGCTATGGTATATGCCAACCAAATAATTTTATACACACTAATTTATTGTTTCTCATCAATACATTAAAATTGCAGACGAATGCTGGCTTTCTGCCACCTGATCCAGGTTTGTGCTGGGATGGAATTGAAGCACTCTTCCTCAGATTCTCTTTGGAGGTAGGCCAAGTCGCAACTCAAAAATGTAAAGGAATGTCTGAGGTGAGAGTGACAGAAGAAAGTGGATCTCAGGCCAAAGCATCCCTGGAAAGCATGACAGAGGCAAAACCTGGTCTCTGGCTGTAACCATGAAATCTGGATGAAATGCAGACATTTCCTTGGGGTCTGTACTATTCTTAGATTGTCATAATGAGACCCATATTCAGCGATCTGATGAAATGGGCAGCAGTTTCTAGGAAGTCTTTTTTGAAAGACATCATTGATTGAACACATTTTCTAGGAAAGCATAATTTGCCAATATTAATTCCAATATATTTCCATAAAATAAATAGAAATAATTGTTAAAGACCCCACTACCACCACTCTAAACGTAAAAGATCCAGGGTCAGATGATTTCATGGAGGGATTCTACCAAACTTTTTGAGAATAAGTGATTCCAATGCTACTTTAACTGTTCTGAAACAAAGAAAAAGAGAGCTTTCAAAAGGCACTTTATGAGTTAGGATCACATCAATACTGACAAAGACTGCCCAGAAAATAAAACTCTAATTTAATGTCACTTGTATTTACAATGCAAAAGGCCTAAGTAAAATGTTAGCGAAGAACTCAATGTCACATTAAAAGAAAGGGAATATATTTGAGAAATGTAAAGATGGCTCAATATTAGTAAATCTAGGAATATAATTAATCATAGTAATTGATTCAAGGGAAAATAACTTGATTATATTTAAAATGTTAAAAAGATTGTTCAAAAGATTAAACAATCAAAATTGATTTTTAAAAGACACTCAAGAAAATAAGAAAGATGGATGGATGCTTGCTTAAAGTGATAAAAATGTGTCTACTGTATTTTGATTCAAAAGTCAGCATACTTAATAGGAGAAAACATCTAAGCTTGTAATAAGACCAGGATGCCCACTGACAATCCTACTATGTACTTTGATACTCTAAGTACTGACTAGTGCAGATAGGCAAAAGAAAGAGATTGCAGGTGTAAATATTAGAAAACTAGAGGTAACAGCATACTACAGGGACACAGCCACATCAATGTTTATAGCAGCATGATTCACAATAGCTAAACTGTGGAACCAACCTAGATGTCCTTCAATAGATGAATTAATAAAAAATGTGGCATATATACACAATGGAATATTACTCAGCAATAAAAGAGAATAAAATTTGCAGATAAATGGATATAGTTAGAGAAGATAATGCTAAGTGAAGTTAGCCAATCCCCAAAAGACAAATGCCTAATGTTTTTTCTGATATAAGGAGGGTGATTCATAGTGGGGTAGGGACAGGGAGCATGGGAGGAATAGACAAATTCTAGATAGAGCAGAGGGGTGGGAGGGGAATGGAGAGAACATGGGGTTAGAAATGATGGTGGAATGTGATGGACATCATATTATCTCAAATACATGTATGAAGACATGAATTGGTGTGAATATACTTTGTATACAACAGAGATATGAAAAACTGTGCTCTGTATGTGTAATAAGGATTGAATGTATTCTGCTGTCATATATAAATAAAAAATAATAAAAAAAGAAAACTAGAGGTAAGTAAGCCATTGTTATTTTTAGATATTGCCAACTTTATGATGAACTTAACAGAAAGGTGTAAAGGCATATATGGAAAAAAATCCTAAAGTAATCTTTAATATAAGAACAGGAAGAATTATGTACATATTCTTGAAAAAAAAACTTTAACAGTGGGCTGGGTGCCGTGGCACATGTCTGCAATCCCAGCGGCTCGGGAGGCTGAGACGCGAGCACGGTGAGCTCAAAACCAGCCTCGGTAATCTTGAGGCGCTCAGCAACTCAGTGAGATCCTGTCTCTAAATAAAATACAAAAGTAGGGCTGAGGATGTGGCTTAGTGGTAGAGTGCACCTAAGTTTAATCCCCAGGACCAAAAAGAAAAAGAAAAAGAAAGACTTAACATTGAAAAGTTGCAAATTCTCCTTAAGTTAACTTATAAATTATTATCTCAGTAAAAACACTAAAAAGTTAAACAAGCTGATTCTAAAGTTCAGAAAGAAACTAAAAATATGGCCATGATAATTGTCAAGAATACAAGTAAAAATAAATGTTGGTGAGGATATGGGGAGAAGCGTGTACTCCTACATTGCTGGTGGGACTGCAAATTGGTGCAACTACTCGGGAAAGTAGTATGGAGATTTCTGAAAAAAATAGAAATCGAACCTCCATTTGACCCAGGTATCCCACTCCTCAAAGGACTTAAAATCAGCATACTACAGTGCAGTAGCCACACCAATATTTATAGCAGTATAATTCACAACAGCCAAGCTATGGATCCAACTTAGGTGCCCTTCAACAGATGAATGAATAAATAAAATGTGGTATATATACACAATGGAATAGTTCTCAGCCATAAAGAAGAATGACTTTATGGCATTTGCCAATAAATGGATGGAATTGAAGGCTATTATGCTAAGTGAAAGAAGCCAGTCTTCAAAAGCAAAGGGTTGAATATTTTCTCTAATATGTGGAAGCTAAACCAAAATAGGTGTGGAGGGGGAAAGAATAGAAGAAAGATCAGTGGAGGAGATAAAGGGAAATGAAAGGAAGGGAGAAGAGATGGGATGGGGAAAGATAGTGAAAAAAATCTGCCCTAACATTTCTATGTATATATATGAATATATCACAGTGACCCTCACCATGATGCACACACACACAAGACACTAATTAAAAATAAAACTATAAGTAAATTGCAGAAAGACCAATGGAGTAGAGGGAAGGGAATGGAAGAAAGGAGAAAGGAAAGAGAAGGGGAAATACTGGGGACTGAACAAATGATATTTCATGGCACTATAATTATGTCAAAATAAATTCTATTGTCATGTACGACTAAAAAGAACCAATAAAAATACAACCCAGAAAACAGATCAATGAGGGTGAGCAGCACTTTAGGTATTAAAGTACATTATAAAGTCTCAGTAATTAAAACCATGTTTTTTTTTTTTGCTCATAAGAACAATGCAATAGAATACAAATTCCAGAAATTGTCTCCATGTATACAGGAATTTCAATATATAATATCTCAAATTAGTGGGAAAAGAGAAACCATTCAATAAATAGGGATGGGGAAATTAGATACTCTAACAGAAAAAAAAAAACTTAGGCAGGATGGATATCTAATACTACTATAAACTGTAAATGGGTGCAATATACAAATGCAGAAATAAAGCTGTAGTGAAATTAGAAAAAAGCATTCCTAGACTCGCTTAATAATCCAGAACCGAGGAAGCCTTTTCAAAATATAACTGAAAATGCAGAAGATACGTACGAATACATGGATTCACTTACAATCTACATGGCAAATTCATGAAAAACCAAGTCAGGAGACAGACAACAATATAATAAACACCCGTCATGTCACAGACAGAACTATTAAAATAGAGAGAGAAAAATTCTAAAACTTTGAAGAAAAAAGGAAACCACTAGTCCAACAAAAAATAGTCAAGTGAAAAGATTAGGAAAGAGAGACACATGGCATTTGACTGGATGGAGATGCTTGAGCTGACTCATGGTAGAAGTTCTTGAGCACAGGCTCATGTAATGTGATGAGGGTGAACTTCCTTGTCTTGCTCCTCATTGCAGAGAGGATGTGTCTAGTGGTTCCATTTTCCCCTCATCAGATTGGCACACATTGCCAAAGTGGCCTTCACACTCTCAGCAAGGCCCTGGACATATAGGCTCTCTCATGCCTTTCTGCTGGGAGTGGAAATCGGTCCAACCTCTTCAGAGGATAATTTGATAATATTTCAAAGTAAGTCCAAATTTCTACTTCTGAGATATTATCCTGTGGATATTGTTATGAAATTATTTAGATGCCCAAGGTGTTCACACAGATGGTAAAAGAAAAAGAGGGGGGATAACCCCCAATTCCATCAATAGGAAAGGATTAAAATAAATATTGGTATGTCCATAAATTCAGACACTGCACATTTGTAAACAAAACAAAAACAAAACAAAACAAAAAAAAAAAAAAAAGAAAGAATGAAAAGAATAAGAATATTTTTATGTGCAGATATAAGGTATTTCCAAGATATTTAATTCAATGAAAAAACAAGAACAAAAAAACCAAAGTGCCCAGCCCTATGAATAGTACATACTTTTTGTGGAATCAAAGGAGAAACTACCAGAATATACATGTATTAGTTGGTATAAGCATAAAAACCTGAAAGACTACATTAGAAAAAGAATGCTTTTGATTATTGGAGGGGTTATTAGAGACTTTCCACTATATTCCTTTGGAAGATTATTTTAAAAATACAAAGCATTCCATCTTCTACCTTATGTGCCATCCTGAAATGGGGGTGACCTTCATAAAACAAAAAAAAGTCCTGTCCCTTGTGTAGGAAGACAGGCCCCAGTCACTTGGCCTCAGAAAGCACATGATTTTAGACTTCAGTTAGTCTCATCCAGCTACTCATGTGCACCTGGTTCCTGCCAGGGACACGGGTACAGGATTTGGCTTTTCTACTGGTTGTGGCTCCCACATAGGGAAGGGGATCAGGTAGAGATGACTTTCCTCATTAAACATTCTAACCCATTGCTGTCACCAGCCACCCGCAGACACATTCATCCCACCCTTTAAAGAAGCCAAAACTTTATTAAATAACCCCACTGTAAACCTTGTAAGGATGAAGCCTTTTCTGGAATTCCTCAGATTTCAAAGTCTCACGTTCAAGTTCTTGAAAACGAGGGCAGTTCCTGGAAGGCAGGTGGAGCAACTGGGGACAAAAGAAAGAGCATAAAGACCTTGATTGGCCAGAAGCACCTTGCCAAGGGAGCTGCGCCATTATTTTAAGCCTTGTTTGGTCAAAGGCAACCTTAATAAATTAAGATTCAAATATGCTAGACGTGCGCTCAATGCTAAAATAGGAGAAAACAAAACAAGTGGTCTAAGGTCTGAAAACCACAGCATCTGTAACCAGATCCTCCCACCCCCCCCAAAAAAAATCTTTATGATGATTTTTTTTTTCTTCCATGAACTTGCCTAAATCGGAATGTGCTGTTTGTAAATATTCGCACTTGCTGTGAATTACTGTTATCTTGCTGCTTCCTCCTCACCTTTCATTTCTAGCACTAGGTGCCCATTGGTTATATACCCTTCTCCCCCAGGAATATGGAAAATAAATTAGAGGTCGGGAAAGAATCTTAAAGAGATCAACAAACCATTCATTGACTTCGGTTCTTGCAAATTTGCAGACTGTTAAAATAAGGGTATATATTAAATGTATGGGAAAATATAATTTAAAGCCTATTAGGAGGACAAAATGATCATCCTAAAATGAGTTTACATCTGATGATCTCTTGGGGGTTTTAACTATGCTCTACAGGTGGGTGACACCCAAGTTCATTTTATGGCTCTTGCTTTCCTGTATTTGTCCTGTATTGCTGGACAACACTATTTGTATATTTCTCCTTGATTGTTGAAGACCTCTAACGTAACATGTACAGGGCCAAAGTGGACTTCCTTACTTTAAGCCATTTCTTCTTGATAATTTCTCCACTTTTGCCAATGGCAAAATTTACAGCATAGACTAATCACTTTTTGGGGGTCTATTTTCAAAATAGATCTAAAATAAGCCCTTGACCTTTAAACCACTTTTGTTTGTCGGCTTTCAAAATACACCCAACAGACCCCTCTCTTTATCTTCATTGTCCCCTAACAGTCACTGCCACTGTCATCTGTGTTTCAAATACTGTGAGTGCCTCCTATTTGGCCAATCAAAATACTTTTCTTCTGCCTTCACAATTCATTCTCCACACAGTAGCTATACTATTGTTTTTTATTTTTATCTTTTAAAGCATTCATCAGATCAGGTTATTTCGTGGTTCCCAACCTTCCTTAACTTTTCATTTGACCTGGAATAAAATCCACACTCAGCATGGCTTCAAAGAGTCTACAGGACGGTGACCCCTAATAAACACTCTGCCATCCTCTCCTGTCCAGCAACACTGTGGGCCTTCTTGCTGTCTCTAAACACACAGGTTGAGGGTCTCTGCGTTAACTCCTCCCTGCCTGGAACAGATCCCCCACTGATACTCACCTTGGCTCGGCTCCTGCAGCCAGCCTGCATGTTAATGTGTTTACTTCTCTCAAAACACTTATCACCATCTGAAATTATTTTATTTACCTATTTTCTTATCCTATCAAATATAGACCCCCCAGGGGCTGCGGTTGTGGCTCAGTGGTAGAGCGCTTGCCTTAGCATGTGTGAGGAACTGGGTTTGATCCTCAGCACCACATGAAAATAAATAAGTAAAATAATGGTATTGTGTCCATCTACAACTAAAAAAAAAAATTTTTTTTAAACAGAGTATAGACCCTCAAGAGACCTAGCATCTTGTTTGACTGGTTCACTGCTATAGTGTCAACTCCTAGAACAGAGCTGGTGTGTTAGTGGCTGCTCAGAAAATGTTTCTAAGTTGCTTCCTGCCTTGTCATTTCTGCTCCTGTTGGTGACCTTGCTGGCTTTCCTTCCTCTGACATCTTTTATCATCTAACTTCAGGCCTTCATTTCCTCTTTGCTGAATTGCATCAACAAGTATTCTCTGAGGCTCCAGTGTCTGTTCCTTCTAAATCATTGTCATATGATACTGAAGAGTGTATGCATGCACCCCTCACCTTTCCTACCTCTGAGGTCTGGTTCAAGTCCTTACTCTAGGCAGATTTGAATCACTTCCCTGTGGGAGTTCCATGCAGGTTTTATTCTCTGAACTCGTCCAGCGTGTACAGCTTGTCTTTGACGTCATGTTCTACCATTTTGTTCTGCATGCTTCACTCATGATCATTTTCTTTCATCAAACAGATCATAAGTTAGGGAAGAAACTTGGCCTTGTGTTTTTCTTATATTTCTCTCTAATACCCAGCATAGGTCTGGGAGTAACCTTGTGTTGATTGATGATGGATTTGTTAGACTTCATAACTGACAGGAGAGCTTTGTTTGCTTTATTGAGCAGGTAGCTAGAAGCCAACAGTAGATAATCTTGCTTGTTTCCCTCTCCCTCTTTTTACCTCTTCTAATAGTATCTGGATTCTCTTTCTTTCTTTCTTTTTTAAAAATATTTATTCTCAAGTTTTAGGTGGACACAATATCTTTATTTTACATTTATGTGGTGCTGAGGATTGAACCCAGTGCCTTGTGCATGCTAGGCGAGTGCTCTACCACTGAACCACAACCCCAGCGCCCGGATTCTCTTTCTATGTAATTTAATTACTATCTTTCTGGATTACAGGTTAAATAGATATCCATGTTTGTGTTGGCTAAATCTGGTGCTCCTATTTGGTCTTTATCTCTGCAGAAAAGCCTATGGGAAAAATGATTTTTTTTCTCTTTGGAAGATAATTTTCACAACATTTTAAGAACATGGATAATATAATACTTCACTCCTGATTCTATAAAGGAAGATGGTATACATAAACCATTCTGACTTTTCAGGACATACAACAGAAGTGGTCAATTTAGAATAGATTTATCTTGAGTGGGGTCGACAGGGGACAGCTGTTTCTACAAAGCACTTGGGGAAAATTCTTAAGCCACTAGGTGCAGCAATTAAGTCAAATCTCTAGAATTACTGGAAGGACAAAGAGGACAGCAACATATCCTGGAAGACACTGTTAAGTGTGTGTGTGTGTGTGTGGGGGGGTCACACTAAGCCTCAGGCATAGAGAGATAAGGTAGTGCTATGATTTGAAAATGTTCCCCAGTGTTCCTGTGTTGGAGACACTGTCCCCAAATCAGTGGTGTTGAGAGGTGTGACCTTTGGTAGGTGACTGGTCCAAGAGGGCTCTGCCCTCATAAGTGGATTAATGGGTTATTATTATAGGAGTGGCTTTTAAAATTTCTTTTTGTACAGGAGATTGAACCCAGGGACACTTAACCACTGAGCCACATCCCCAGCCCTTTTTTTATATTTTATTAGAGGCAAGGTCTCACTAAGTTGATTAGGGCCTTGCTAAGTTACTGGAGCTGGCTTTGAACTCATGATTCTCCTGACTCCACCTCCTGAGCCACTGGGATTACAGGTGTGCACCATCACACCAGGCTAGCTTTTTTTTTTTAAATAAAATCAAGTACTTTTTGCTTTATCTTGCCATGTGATACCTTCTGCCATGTCATGACGCAGCAAGGAAGCCCTCTTCAGAAGCTAAGCAGATGCTGGTGCCACATTCCTAGCCTCCTGGACTCCTACCCTCCTGGCCTCAGAGCTACAAGCTAAATGAGCCTCTTTTTTTTTTTTTTTTTTTTTTTCATAAGTTACCTAGTCTGTGCTGCTCACCTGTAGAAATGGAAAGTGATCTAAGATAGATCCTGCCCATGATGTAACTATAGGGAAACCAGGAAAGAACTGCTTGTTCCAAACCATTTCCTACATATACACTGGAAGATTAGTTACATATATTTATTACTGTTTTTTAAAATATCAAGTGTTATGAAAAGGCTAGAGTTCTTGGTCAGTCCCACCCTGGGTAAATAAGTTTGAGCGTTTCTCTCAAACAGTCCAAGAGAGGTAGCTTGGTTTACAGTTCTCAAGCCTGGCTGCCAATGGGATCATCTAGGTATACTATTTCTAAATGATGCCTGGAGACTCTGGTTTGTTATAGGGAGTGCCCTGGCCATTAGGAGTTTTGAAAACTCCCCAAGAGATCCAAATAGACAAACCAAGTTTGAGAATCACTATTTTACAGGTAACAAAACTAGACAGATCTAGTTTGGGTCATAGGAGTACTGTTGACCAGCTATGTGGCTTTGGACCAATTTTGTTTGTTATTTTACCTCTCTGAGCAGGTCTTTCTCCTTGCGATCAAAGAACAATAGTATTATCCATCCCAGGTTGTTATGAAAGGTAAATAGGAGGGCATATATATAAAGTGTGGGGACGAATTTTGAACCCAGCTCTTTCTCTTTTTCCCTACCTAGGAACGTAGATTTTCTCTGGGGGAGGAGTGTTTGGTAAGCAGGGAGATCTGTGCCCAAATTGTGTTGGGCACCCAAAGCCTAGAAACTGAAAGCAGCCCACTGGAAGGGAGGGAGACAGAGAGGCAGGGAGGAGTCAAGAGGGACAAACTGGCAGAAGTTGAAATGGTGGCAAAACAAAGTGGATGGTAGAGATCTAAAGAAATATTCAGTTCCTACTCATCCTGCCTAGGGCTTTCCACGTCCTACTATGACTGTCCCTTGAATTCTTCCTTCCTTCCTTCTTTCTTTCTTTCTCTTTTTTTTTTTTAAAGGAAAGAAGTAAAACTGTACAGCCCAAACTTCATTCAGACTCCCAAATCCACAGTTCTGAGAAGCCCACTTTCCTCCTTCCAAAGCCACATGAAATCTCCTGGACCTCTCCGTATACTGACCCGATCTTCAGAGATAGCAACAGTGTGGACTGGGATGGGCTGCCAGGGTAGGCTGGGGTTCCAGATGCTGGTGCCCTCTGGGGGAAACAGGGCTGCTAGGTTTGTCATAGCACTCATCAAAGTCCGGTCAACATCCGTGCTTCGAACATAAACCTAGAGTGGAAAAATCAAAGTAGAAGATTTTTTTTTTTTTTTTGTACTGGGGATTGAACCCAGGGGGGCATTTTACCATTGAGCCACATCCTCTCCAGCCCTTTATATTTTTTATTTTGGAACAGGGTATTGCTAAGTTGTTTAGGGACTCACTAAATTGCTAGGGCTGGCCTCAAACTTGTAATCCTCCTGCCTCAGCCTCCTGAGTTGCTGAGATTACAGGTGTATGCCACCATGCCTCAAAACAGAAGCCAATTGAGAGGAAACATGAAGGTCCCCTGCAGCCCTACTGTGGAGCTGGCCGGGTACTAGAGAAAGAGCAGGACAGTCATACTGGACTATTAGCAGACATTGTAGTAACTTCATAAACATAATATGTTACAAAATGAGTAATATTCTGAGCATACCATGGTATAAAGCCGCCTAGAAGGACAATAGTTGAATTGACAAATGACACCAATTAAGCAATGTCTACTTGCCAAGCCAAAGTATTTACACAAGTATCCATAAAAGTTTGAACTTACTCATATTTATACAGTTTTAGGAAAAAATAATCCTATAAAGACAAGTACATTTGTAAACAAGATCTCTGACTAATATAAGTACCTTGGAAAACAAAACAGGTAAAACACTTATACATATTCAGAATTAATTCTTTTCAAGGGTCAAGATTCCTGCCGTTAGCACCCCACTTGCCTGATCATGTTTATAGGACTTATTCAAGAATTTATCATATCTTTTCCTTAAATATTGTCCAAGTTCATAATGCTGTTCCATGCCTCTCTATGGGAAAAAAATAAAAGCAAAAATTAGTGAAAATAAGTAAAATTGTCTCCTCTCTTTTAATTGTACCTGTGGAATGAATAAGGTATGATTCAATAGTTGCACAATAACAACACATAGATACATAAAAATAAAAACAGTTGCAATCTTTAGTCAGGACTCTCGGACCCTCTGAGAAGATGAATTCACCTTTATTAGCACGTAACATAGGAACTTCATCTTTATTAGCACTTAACACAGGAACTTGCACCTCATATGTGTTTAGTTGATAGTTGGTGATTGATCTAATTAAAATAAATGACTCATCTCTGGTTTGGTAGTAGGATCCTTGATGGTAGGGTATTGAAAAGGACTGGTTGACCACTAGGTGGGGATTTTGTGAATGAAATCCAACTATGTGATGAAGGTGGGCTTGATGAATCTGAAGGTGCATTTCAACCTTTGGATGCAATGAATGATTTATTATCCATACAGTTTATTTATGACTGGTTCATAAAGGACTAAAGCTTGTTAGTCAAAGTGTGATCTGTGAATCAGAAATATAGTCATCACTTGAGATCACATTCGAAATCCAATTCTGGAGCCCCACTCTTGACCGCTCAGTGAGAATCTTAGCGGGTGGAGCTTAGGAATACGTTTTCAGCAAGCTCTCTGAGACCTTTTAAGGGACAGCAAACACTGAGATGCATTGCATTAGCTCAGTGGTCCTCAAGTATTACTGAGCATCAGGAATAAAACTACATAGAAGTGCTGTTGAAGTACAGATTCCTCAGGAGCTCCCCCCAAATTCTAGCTTATTGTATCCTGTGGGGAGGGGGTCATGGAATTGGCATTTTAACAAGTACTCCAACTGATTCAGATGCAGGTAGTAGAGCACCGTGCTTTGAGAACACTGCTGCAGATTTGTCTTGAATCCAGAGCCTCATCAGATTTCAAGAGTTAGAGAGGATGTGGCCTCCGGGTTGCTGATTGGCTGCACCTGCTCATTAGCTTGTCACTGTTGAGCACCACTATTATCACCTTCCATGGGGACGAATGTGGGGAAAGAATGACATGGGGACCATGATTGGGGTACCTGAAGAAGCAGGGATTTGGGGTCTTGTGTTCTTATGGTTAACTTTGGGGGAAACAGTCATCTCCTGAACAAAGCAATGGTTTTCACATTTCAGCATGGCACATAGAATGACCTGGGGGACTTATTAAAACATAAATTTCTAGGCTTTAGCATTAACGTCTCTAACTTACAGTTATAGAGCAGGGCCAGGGAATTTACATTAAACAAAGTGCTGGGCAATGATGAGGCTGCTGGTCCAGGGCCCATACTTGGAGAGCCATTGATCTAGAGATTCATCGTCCCATCATTATGCCAATTAGAAGTTCCTGGCCAAAGGCAGAAATTGGAGCTCTAAACCTTTACCACTTAAGGAGTGTGCCATATACTAGTACCACTGGCATCATCTGGAAGTCTGCCAGACATGCAGAATCTCAGGCCTCACATCAGACCTGCTGAATTAGAATCTGCATTTTTAACAAAACATTTGCACACGAAAGCTTGAGACTCCATCCCAATGCATCCAGCTGGTTAAACATCAAATTCTAATGTCATCACTTCAGAGGAATCACATGAAACAGCACCCCCACCCCCACCAAAGTCAAACGCACCCAGGGACCTTAACTTTGTCTTGTTAGCTATTAAGAGCATGATGGTGTCTTCCCCTAGCCTCTCACTCACTCTCAGTCTTACCAACTTCAGAAAACAGCTGCTATCATGAAAGCCAGGATCCCCTCGCCATAATTCTCCCAAAACAAACAACATAAAGGACAATGCTGTTGAGAAGTCACCCAAACAGCAAATTCTCAGGACCCTTAACTTGTTTATCCCATAATTTGTGTTTTTTTCCACCCCCACCTATGAATTTTCCTATAGTTGCAGTGACTCACTCTTATCACAAAGCAAAAGGATGATACAGGGAGAGATGCAGCCTTTGGCTCCAGACTGCCTGCCTGCCCCAAGGCTGAAGTGCTTGCGAGGGGCCCACAAGGAAAGCACCTTAGAGGATCTCACAAAAACAGAAGGGAGGCTAGCAGAGGAAGGGGATGGAGAGAGAGGGAGGAGGGAAGACTGGGGAACGAAATCTACCAATTTGTTCTATGTCCATGTATGAATATACCACAATGAATCCCGTTTTATAATGTATGTGTATTATATATAACACGCTAATTAAATTAACAACAATAATAATAATTATCAAAGAGAGATCAGTAGAGTAAGTGGATGGAGAGGAAGAAGGGGGGAAGAAGGGAAGGTCCTGGGGAATGAGACTGATGGAGTTATGCTATGTTCATGAATATGGCACAGTGGATTCCATTATTATGTATAATTATAATGCACCAATAAAAATAAATAATCAAAGAAAACATCTCAGAAATTGTTCCCAAAGCCCATTAAAATTCCTAGACTCTAGCCCACCCCTGCGACCCTTACAGACTTAACAACTAGCTCCCTTTTTTTGTTCTGAGAGCCAGCTGGGTCAATGCTGTGTCTCCTTTCTGCTCCAGCAAGAGGTGCCAATAAAAAAATTCTCGTCTCTGACACAGTTGTCCCTTAATCTGATTCTTCTGATGGAGAATATGAGAACACACAGAGCCAAGTACATATTCAGTTTATTGATTAGAGGATTTTTTTCCCCTCTCTCTATCTTCAACATTTCTAAATTCACAGATTCTGTTGTCCATATATAGCTCCTGTGCTTGGGTAAAGCCAAAAAGGTAAAAAGCATCAAAACAGTGACAATTCTACACACATTTACCCTGGAGACTCATCCACAACCTTCAGCTGGGCATCCAACCAACCTGGGTGAGCTGGCCAAATCCTTGGGGCCAGGAGGATTCCTTAATGGGGTCATTAGGAAATGTCTCAATGGGACTTCGGTCTCCATGCCGAAATACCTGAAAAGACATGTGAGACAGTAGTTTTACAAACTTCACTTGGGTATTTTGCTTCTGTTTGTCATAATAGTTTCTTCTAAACCTCTGTTTTCAACCTTGGAGGCCCACTGGAATTGCTTGGGAAGTTCTAGAAAATTCTGAGAACTAATTAAACCAAAAGTATCTCTAGTGATTTTGGTTTAATTAGCCTGGAGTTTTAGCCAGGGCTTCAGAATTAAAAAAAAAAAAAAAAAAACTTTCCAAGTAAACCTCAGGTTAAGAATCACTATTCTAAGTTCACTACGACTTTTCCTAAGTTGAAGATAATGTTAGAATCAGGATGATTAGCCATTGGGAGGTGGATGATACATGCATGGAGATAGTCCTTTCTATATGTCAGATAGGGTAGGAAGGAACACAAAGCTCGCAGAACCACTTTATTGCAGACAGACACTGGTGAGAAATTCTTCCCTTAATTATGATGACTGAAATGATGGTGTTAAATTTTTACATTTAATAAAAATAGTGATTTTAAGCAACACATTCCATTTGTGGATATTTTGAGTCAATGATTTATTAGCTGTAGGAGGTTAAGGATAAAAGAATTACAGATAGGGAGATTTGGAAAGCTGGTTCTCAATACTCTATAATAACACACTTCTGGATTTGTGTGCACATCCTACAATTTTCACTGAACATTTCTTTTTGGAAAGAGTGTGGACTTTTGGAACCTTGGCACTTTGATTCCAATATGCTTTCAGAATAGCAATATCCCACCAAAACCAAAGCTATTTGATAAGTAAAAAGTAAAAAAAGAAAAAGAAAAATACTCAAGAAGTATAAGACAAAGTCTACACTGATGCCAGCAAATATTTTTAATATAGAGGAGCTGCGTCTGCATAATGCTGTGCTTTATCTGAGATCACTTGTACTTGTTGCTTATACTCCCTGGCTAGGATGTTTCATTGAAGAGTAAGCCAAGAGATTGCTCTTTTGAAACTTGTAAAACAGTTCAATAGACACAGAATAAGCAGCACTCTCAAACTTTGAGTGTTATCTTTGAGAAGGAATTCCAAGACAGGGCAGGGGGCTTCTTTGAAGACCTGGATTGTCTCTCTGGTATTGAAGAAAGCCATTGGCCCCCTAAACCAGTGAGAATTGAAAATCTCCACGGAACAGGCTACAGGAAACAAAGGATTGTAACAAACTGTTTGGGTCAGTTAAGGAAATAAGGTCATGAATGATCGGTCACCTTCCAGCAGGAGGAAAAGCTGCATTTTGTCTTGTGAGCACCTACTGCTACTTACTGGTTTCTAAGGGTGACTCAATCACCATCAGGAACCACCAAGGCTAACTATTAGTGCTTCTCTTTTAACAATCCAAACACATCTTAGACTTTTTAGATCCCAAATAATTGGCCAGCATACATTCCCAGATCTGGGTAATTAAAGTTGTCATATAGTGTCAATAGATTCTTAGCTGTGTATTGGGCGTTTCCCAGGGTTTCTCAACCTCAGTGCTGTTGAAGTTTTAGGCTGGGTAATTCTCTGCTGTGGGGCTGTCTTGCATTTTGTAGGAGGTTTAGCAGAATGTGACCTCTGTCCACTAGATAAAAGCAATGTTCCTCTACTTTGACAATCTAAAAACCGAAATCACCCCCAGCTGAGAGCCCGAGTCAGCTAAGGAGAAGTCAGATGAGACATCTTGTACTGAAATCATTCAATGCAATTCAATAACACAACAGCAGCTCCTCACCCTTTCACTTGCTTTGTCCTGGAAACATGTCAGGTGCTTCCCCTACATTTAATCCTCCCATCAATTCTACAAAGCAGTTATTATTATTATTTCCATTTCATATATGAGGAAGTTGACTTTAAGTAAGGGAGCTGCCCAAGCTTGCTCAGCATGTAAGCGGTAGTGCTCATCAGACGCAGGCCATGTGTCCTCCACACCACAAGCTTCCCCACTGCTGAGGGAGGATCACTGCTCCAGGTTCACTCCTCAGACTTCCCACAGATAATCAGGATGATCTGGGACTTGGAGAATTTTTTATAGACTCTACTAAATGTACGTTTTTCCTCTAAGACTGGGATGTATACATGTGCATGTGTGTGTGTGTGTGTGTTGTGTCAGAAACAAAACAAATCCAAAATAAACAATCCCAAATGCACCATGAATTATGCGCATTACTTTAAGAATGAAACTGAGAGTTGGGCACGGTGGCATATAAGTGTCATCCCCACCTCTTGGGAGGCTGAGGCAGGAGGATCATAAGTTCAAAACCAGCCTCAGCAACTTAGCAAGGTGCTAAGCAACTTAGTGAGATTGTATCTTAAAATGAACTAAAAGGAATGGGGATGTGGCTCAGTGGCTAAGCACCCTTGGATTCAAATCCCAGTTATTAAAAAATTTTTTTTTTCTTGGAAACTTAAAAAAGGGCTAGGGGTATATAACTCAGTGGAAGAGTGCTTGCCTAGCCAGTACCACAATAAATACATAAATCCATCTGAGGTTATGCATCCAAATGGCAGAATGACCTGAGACCAAAAAACGAGTGTGGTTGTCAGAGCAGGGTGTGTGTTGAAGAGCAGAGCTCTAGAACGTAATCACGAGACTTGAGCAAGCTTCCTCACTCTGACCTATGTTCAGAAACAAGGGCACTGCCCTCTGATTCAGTGAGATTTGAGAGTTACTGAGGTAGTGGCTCAAATGTGCTGTGAACTCTTTGCAGGGGAATTCCTATAGAAATGCCTACTAAACCATCCCCCACCTCTGGGATGGGAATCAAAAAGCCTGCGTATGTGTGTGTGAGAGAAAGTGTGTGTATGCCTGTGTAAATGCTTCCATGTGTGCAGATGGCGTTCTTTGAGCTTCTGAAGTTCTACAAGCCAACTGGAGTCCTTGAAGTATTTCTAGACATCCTTTTTTTTTTTTTTTTTGGTACCAGGGATTTAACCCAGGGGCATTTAACCACTGAGTCACACCCCAAGCTCTTTTTATTTATTTATTTTTTATTTTGAGACAGGGTCTTGCTAAGTTGGCTAGAGCCTCACTAAATTTCTGAGGCTGGCCTTGAGCTTGTGATCCTCTTGCCTCAGCCTCTCAAGCCACTGGGATTATAAGTATGTGCCACCACACCTGGTTGTCTAGGCATTTTTTTTTTTTTTTTCGTACCAGGGATTGAACTCAGGTGCACTTAAGCACTGAGCCACATTCCCAACCCTTTTTTTTTTTTTTTGCATTTTATTGAGAGACGGGATCTCACTGAGTTGCTTAGGGCCTCACTAAATTGCTGAGGCTGGCTTTGAACTCACAATCTCCTGCCTCAACCTCCAGAGCCACTGGGATTACAGGCATGCGCCACCATACCTGGCTATCTAGGCATTCTTAAGATTGTAGTAGGACAATGTTCTTAACTGCTGCTTTACCAGATTCATATCTCTGTTTCAGAGATATGAAATCCTTTAGTAACTTAAAAATATATTATTAGGGGCTGGGGATATAGCTCAGCTGGTAGAGTGCTTGCCTTTCATGCACAAAACCCTGGGTTCAAGCCCCAGTACCACAAAAACAAAATAACAACAACAAAAACCCCAACATTATTGGCAGTCAATTTTTGCAGTATTAGTAGTAATCCCAATAGGAAGTTGTCCAAGATAATAACAACACCTTATATTTGCACAAACCTTCATGCTTTGTAGAATCCTTCCCTTGCTATTTATTAATTCCTGAATAAGGGCAGACTGGCACTCAGCAAACCAGGAAACTGAGGCTCAAGGCAATTGAACGAGTTGTCCAGATCATGATTGCTTGGTCATAGTTTTCCCACTACATTACATTCATTTTACCTTTGCAAAATTATAGGAAATCTTAAAAAAACCAAAAGTTCATCTCCCATGACTGGCCCTGCTGCATGGAATCTGCTAAACAGATTTGGTGTGTGGCTTAGGATGTGGGGACACTGGTGAGTATGGTCAAGACAAGTCCAGTTCTTCTGTCCACAAGCAGTCACCTGATCATTTACAAAATGTCAATCAGAATGCCACTTGACTGATTAGGATGCCCTCACGTTCTCTCATTGTATTAAATGTTCTTTCATGGAGAACTTTAAAGATGTATATAAAAGTCGAGATTTTCATGATGAGCTCCTGTAAGCCCACCACTGACTTCAACGGTTTTCAACTTGTGTGTCCTTAGGTTTGTTTCATTCAGATCCTCATCATCCTAAGACATCGTGTTCTACTTCTCTTTGCATAGGATTTAAAGTTCTCACAAGGACCCACAAGACCCTACCTATGTGGCCTCTTCTAACCTCATGTCCTCGCCTCACATTCTTGCTAAGTCTGCTTAGCCACAAGGGTCCTTCTGCTCTTCCAGTCCTAGTGCCTTTGTTCTGTTGGTTTTGAATGTCCTACTTTTACTTCTGCTGGCACACACACTTACTAAATTCAGGTCTGTCCTGGAAAACATAACCTCTGCAGAGAGGCCTTCCTGGACTATCCATTATAATGAAAGTCCTGCTCAATCTCAAGCTCATCTCACTGTTTTGTTTTCATCCCTGACATTTTCTCAGTTTTTAAAAAAATTTTATTTATTCAAAATTGAAATCATGTATTTTTAAAAAATCAATAAAACTAAAACTAAAACAAAACAAAACAAAAAACAATTGGCTCCCTTTCTTCCTATGAACTCCTTGAAAGCTGCCAGAAGCTCTCTATATCTCCAAATGGTGCCTGGAACATATTAATACACACACACACACAGACATGCACAGGCCTGTTTGGATCCTGGATTGGCTCTCGTTCCCCAGGTACCCGGTGGCTTTCTTTCAAGCCTTTCCATTTCATAAGGGTTTTTGATTTTCTCCCTCATTCATCAGCAAAGTGTGCCATGCATACTCCTCTCTTTCTTTTCCTTCTCTCATCTTTCCCTTCTTCTTAATTTGTATCTTTGATCCTCAAACAGCGAGTCTGCCCCTAGATTAGCCTGGAGTCTCATAAAACATCCTGCCATCGTGTCAG